TTTTCTGGATAATAAATTAGTTTAACATTAAAATTGTGATTGCGCCTCAGTAACAGTCGAAAAGTCCAGGGTGTAAAACCTGCCAGACTATCAGCCTTTTTTAGGGTATTCGGCAGAGGATTTTGCGTACAGGTCTCGTGTTTTGCTGACAGTCGCCGTTGTTTTTGCATTATACTCAGAGGATAAGAAATGATTTACTTTTAGATTAAAAAGGTCTACTGAATTGAACGGTGTAGTTAGTATTGTTTTGTTAATAAATTCACTTATTCCTGAGTGAATTAACATTGTAGAATAAAATAATGGTGAGGACAGACGGAATATATTTACCAGACAGTTGCAATGACTTCTGATAATATATTACAACCCCGCTTTCAACGTAATTTATACAGATAATATATGTTTTTTACTTCTGATATAAATTTTTTGGTTTCTGTCACTTTGCTCATCTTCTGTATTTCCTTTTGATGTCTAATTTTTTTTCGACGGAACGTATACTGGTTGAATTTCAACTCAATTTTTTCAGTTGAACTACTTTCTGTACTACTTAAACACACTTATCCGTTACAGTCCCCTTAGTGACAGTATTCTTTCACAAACCAGTTTATTAATAAGGGAATGATTTATAGGTAGCAAATGTTGTATGGAAGCTAAAAGTTTATATTTGGTTGCCCGCACTGTTTTAAGTGGAATAATTTTGAAATTGTTGGCGCTGGTTCACATGGATTTTCGAGATACCTGTTGTTAAATTTCTTATTTCGAACCCAGATACTTAGATCAGGAGTTCTTGTCTAAGCATTCGATGCTCGAATCCAATAACGTCGCTTTAACTGGATTAATAGGAGAGTTTGCCATTTGGTTCGCAAAACTTCCGGTGATGGTCGAGGGTGTGATGATTCTGGACATCCTGTCGAAATACTTCCACACAGCTTACGTTCGTAGCCTCTGTCGGGAAATACCTACTCATTGTTTCCACGTGAAGGGGTGTTTCCACAAAAGCGACAGGAAGAAGGCAAACTTTCGGCACTACAAACTGATTGGTGTACATGGAGAGTTTGGATAGTAACCCTTTAAGACAATCGCTTGCATCGATCTGGAAGTTCGGGTAGTATCACAGCTCAGAAACAAACTATAAATCAACACTAACAACGAAGACTAGTGAGCAGTTATTGAATTTTTTTACACAAATCAAAATATACAGTGTAACTGTATGCCCGATAACTGTTTGTTCTTATATCGTCGTTATTCTTACTAATAAACTATGCTGTCTTTTCGTAATCACTTTCCAATTCACCTTTATATTTATCCTTGTTTCACTCAGCTGCTTGTCACTGACTACAATCGTGATCTGTCAGGATCGTTTCGAGTTGCTAAACAGTTGCTTACAGAAGGTTGTCCTTCGGTGAGATATCTGATACAACTATTCTGAAACCGCATGCACTGCATGCACAGCTCAAGTTGGCCACCTTCAACGTTCAAATCTTGCAGATCGAGCAACAGACAAGTTTAGCTGGGATTCAGGGAACCCTCGCTACTGATGAATGCTACGTCTTAGAGATCTGTGTGCAAGAGACCAGCGAAGTTTTTCGAATGGCATCTCTAGCTGTCAGCTCGAAAAGTGTATTCACAAGGCGCTTATCCAGGGACTCTCTGTGTAGCATCAGCAGCTGGCCTTAGTTTCGAACTGGGCGCCAAAGCCTAAGATACACTAAACGACTGGGACCCCATCAACAGTCATCTGTATGCTACTAGGCTGTAAGGCTCGACTGGAATAAGAAGTAGCTGGCAGAAGAAATGATATCTCTCCATTATATCTGGGTGTGTACCGACAGACTGTAGCCCAAATGCAGTTACGAATGAATTCTGCGATCAATTGAGTGACCTTTCCCACCAAGTGCACTCGATGGAAAGCACAGGTTGTGTCTAGGTCTAGAGGAGGTTTCTTTAGTCAGCTGTTGGGGATTGATGAGTAACTGTGTTGGCTGCAGTTACAAAACACCATGAAAACAGAGTAAAGCTGTTTGTGGCTTCGAAGAACATCCCACTAATAAACACTGAGCTTCTTGAAGCTCATAGCGAATACAATGCTATGAGTAAGTACATTACGCGACTGGTCAAAAAGCATTTACTTAAGAAACACGAGGCCTAGTGGTCAGAATACGTGGTTGACATTAAGACATTGGTAATGACCTGTAATGGCTAGAAAGTGTTCCAGCACATCCAAGCCACCAACAGCGAAAGGTCACGTGCCAGTGAGGTAGTCTGTGAGATAGATGGTATACCGATCACCGATTGTCATAGACGCCTAGGACACTGGGTGGTACATTTCGAAAAGTAGTTTGGCTGACCTGCTGCTCCAACAATCTCTACCTCAGTCTCGTTCTCATTATGGTCAGTTAACACCGACCCAATTAACTAAGTGGAGGTCCGTAAGAAACTTCAAGTTCTAATTCGCCATACCACACGTAGCCCAAATAGCCTGCTCTGGGCTCATTTTATGGATGGAGGTGAGACTGCAGCCAGGAAACTGAATACTGTTTGGAAAGGTATTATAGACTGTGTGTTCCATCAGTCTGAAATGATTTCATTGTTCAACCCATCTTTAAGAAGATTTTACGTAATATATGTGTTAGTCATCGAGGTGTCAGTCGGCTACCGGTAGTGTCTAAAGTGTCGGCTATTATCGTACTTCGTAGTTTGTGTAAAACGCGTGAGAAACTAGTCCATGAAGAGCGGGTTGAGTTTCGTTAAGGTCGTGGAGGCATTGGTCACGTGTTCGCGCTCCACCTAATGCTCAAACAGTTTCACGTATATTCCAGGCCGACGATTGTTTTGCTTCTCGATATTAGGTCTATCTTTGTTTATTTGGACAGGGTTGTACTCTATGGTTATCTATTACAGAGCGGTTTCTATGGGAAGTTCCACTACTCCAAACCAATAGTGGAGTTAAGCATGGTTCCCCTATATCGCTATTCTTCTTCAGCTTTACTATCAGTGGTATTCCAGAGACAGTCCTGAAGGAAGGGTGTGTAGCAGTGGTGTAGATCTGTTCACCAGGTGAGAAACTTCTAGACCTTCAGCATGCTGACGATGTTGTTTACCTGTGTGACAAAATACAGGCTATTCAAATCGCACTCAATATGTTAGTGATCAGTGTCCGAAAGCATGGCATGTGCTTTGTGCCGTCGAAGTGCAAAGTGCTGCTGAAATATTGGTAAGAGCCTGTGACTGTATTCACCTTTAGTGGTGAGTCGTTGGAATCTGTCGAAAAGTTTATGTACCAGAGTAGTTGTGTGAGTACTAGTGGTGTGAATAACAAGATTTCCAACCGTGTGTCGAAAGCCAGAGCGGCATACGCCAACATGGAGAACCTTTGGCGCCTTTGTGATGCTAACCTTGCTGTGAAAGGTTGGAACTTTTCAGTGCGAACATTTATGCATTACACTTGTGAAACCTGGTCGCTCTGGTTTGGGGAAGTGAAAGGGTTCTGCATTTTCAACCATCGTTGTTTCTGCAAGATTGTCCACATTTGGTGGAAACACTATATCAATAATTCTTAGGTGAAGTGATGTGTGTTTTGGCATGATGAAGATAATGTGGTCTTCTTGAATTAACAGCCATAGTGGGTTGGAGATTTGTCACTCATGTCATCTCAGCGGCTCCCACTGTTTGCATGCCCCGAGACTGGTAAGAGGAAGTGGAGAGGTGGCCAGTGTTTGATGTAAAGCTGTGTGATGAAGGATATTTGTGTTTGGTTAGCATCTTTTGATGCCTCATGACTCCGTAGATGGGGTCCGAGAGACGATGCAACTCGGTGGTTTAAGACGAAAGAGAAAATGGTTCGCAATAGAAACCAGTGGCGACCATGCTGCTGTTTACTTGTTTCTACTACTTTTGAAAACTGAAGCGAAAACAGTGAAGGCTTCTTTGGGTGAACCATTGAGATTGCTTTTTCATTAGTTCATTTTTTGTCTGTTTTCGAAGCCTCTTACGTTTTCTTTGTCGTGCTAATATTTTATTATTTCGCCTGTCACATCTTTTGGTGCCTATGTTGTGCTGTGTTTATCCTCTTATAATAATTGGCCATATTGAGCAATGTTGTTATACACTTTGCGAACTTACATTTTAATTAAACTAATTTAAGGTCGTTGAATCAGTTCAGTCACATATTTTGATTAGATTCATTTCACGGCATTTTTTATGAAAGTGATTAGCGTGACATTTTTCTGTGTAGGAACTCAACTTTTCCCTTCTTATCTTTTAGCAAGCTTTTGTCTACATATTAAGTTAGCTTACCGATCCATGGCTTTTAGTGCCAAGTATTCGGAACGATTGGTTTGTTTTACAAGGGTACATAACTTACTGTCTAGTGAAACAGGACCGTATAATTGGGAACTTTTGATGCTCAGTGTAGACCATTAGTATTCACAACAGTATTAGGATATTTAGTATCTCTTGAGGTAGGTTTAATTAGTGGTTCCAGACTATTTCTTACTTTGTATTTCCCCCAAGAAAAGATGATGGCCATATCATAAAATTGCTGATAAATAATCATGTATAGTCAGTGTGAGCTAAACAAAATAACAGTCACTCAGCCAGTGTGCCGTATGCAAGTTTCTAAGTGACCTACTGTTTTCATCTTTTTATTGTAATATGAGTAGCTACCAGGTAATCCTTTCTTTTTTATTGTCACGTTAAATCTTGATTTGAGATTCGCACCCCGAAGCGTTACACAGTAATACGGGGCTCTATGTTGACACTGACTGAGTTGTCAAAGAGCCTGTGATTTATACAGTGACATTGGAGATTTCTTGTTCTAACATTTTTAGCACTGTATTGTATTCTCAAAGGCATGTTTATATGTAAGTTCATGAATTAATAACTTAAGAAGTATTTCTTCTACAAGTCGATGTATCTAGAATACAAATAAAACCTTTGCGATCTGTTAAAATAACTATAATATATGAATTGATATCTTTTTAATGTATTTTTTTCTGTTTTAGCTTAACATATCTGCTAAAGTGTATCAACAACTTTAAAAGCTGAAATGACTGTCCGTCATATTATTGATTTGTAGTTGGTATCATTGTTGCTGTATATATTACATTGATTTCTTATCATAAAATTTCACCTTAGTAATTGTATACACTTGAGTTTCACTAGTGAAAAAGTATTAGTAATTTTGTCGTATCATTGCTAGGATTGTTGAACAGTTAATGACTGCATTCTTCATATTTCTTAGATCTTCTGATTCATCTATGGAAAGGATAAAGATAATCTAAATACACCGAATTTTGTAAATAAATACTTATCCTGAAAATTAACTTGTTTCAGTAAGTATTTTGTACGTTGATGGGATTAAGTACAACACCAAAGTATCAAATATAAATAAGGTTTCGAAAAGTATCACAACTTTGCTCAGTCATATGGTTCATTATTATACAAATGTATCTCAAGAATATCTCTTTCCCCTTGATAAAATGACTGCACAAATCCTTGTAACAGAAAGTCATTTACGTGTGTAGAGAGGAAATTTTAATGGAGACGTCCAAAAAAATGGTTGCCATCATCTTCCCGTGTTGTCTACATATTCTTTCTTAGTGGTTATTCTAATGTTGAATAATTGACAGCTCAAAGACTGTTCGTCACCTTAAAGTGTATTTTTAATTTCGATTGTTTCAAATAAATCTCATGAAAAAAAATAATTTTGAGTGATGGATGACATTTTTAACTCAGGATTCTTTTTTCGTTATAAGGACAATTAGTGTTTACACTTATCATTGCTAATTGTGAACAAAAACTAAATTCAGGCGATAAGTTTTCGATCATAACTAAACATTGAGATGTTTTTATAAGGATTGAAATCACCAGTTACATTTATTGTTATTAATTTGAGTGAATTTGTTAGTAGGTTTTCACTACTATCAGTCAGATGATTATTTATTTATTTGTCCTTAGTGGCACATAGGGCTACAGTAGCACGTCTCCATTTCACTCTCTTCGCTGCAGTCTTTTCAACCTGGCTCCACGACTGCCCAGAAACTCTCATTTCTTCCTCACTTGATCTCCTCCATGTCACCCTCGCCTCGGACGTCCAGCTAGTCGTTTCCTCTTTGGATCCCTCTCGAGAGCCTGGCGCGTGATATCCCCAATCGGCCTTCTCAGTGTATACCCAATCCATCTCCACTTTCTTCTGCATATTTGTTGGGTGATAGGTTCTTGGTTGGTTCGTTGCCAGAGTAAGTTCCTTGTTGCTTATTCTTTCTGGCCATCTGATCTTCAGTATTGAGCCAGCGTAGACGGCAGCTGTTGATGAATGTCTGTAGTTTGTTGGAAATGCTTTTCGTGACACGCCAAGTTTCTTAACCATACAGAAGCACTGACTTGACATTGGTGTTGAAAATCCGGATGTTGTTCACGCTTTGTGCTGAGTGCAGTAGGTCTCCACACTAATTTCAGATTAATAAAAGCCTGTCATGCTTTTCCGATCCTGGTTTTGAGATCCTCGTCTGTACCGCCTGTAGTTGAAACGATGCTGCCTAGGTAGGTGGAAGAGACTACTCCCTTTAGATTTCTCCCGTTGGTGGTGATTGATGCTTGGTGTTGTTGGTGATGGTTGTGGTTGGGTATCTTCATCACCTCTGTCTTTTGTACATTCACGTTCACTTGTCCCGTCTTCGCTGCCTCTTCTGGTTTTCGTCTGTAGATCTTCAAGCTTATGCGATATTAGACAAAAGTCATCGGCGAAATCCAAGTCTTCTTAGGTCTTTTCATCGGTCCAGTCAGTGTATGCCCATCTTCTTGCTCCTCACAGTTTGCTGCATGATCCAGTCGACCACAGTTAGGAAGATGATCGGTGATAGTGGGCAGTCTTGTCTTACTGCTTCCTGTCTTCACTTCAAAGGCATCACTGAGCTTTCCATTGTGAATCACTTGGCATGTGGCGTCTTCATACAGCTGTTGAATGAGGTTGATAAGGGTTTGTGGTACTCCGTAGTGTTGAAGGAGTTTCCAAATTACTTTTCGGTCGACGCTATCGAAGGCTTTTTCAAAGTTGATAAAGTTGATGTAGAGAGTTGACTGCCATTCTGTGCTTTGTTCTATGATGGTGCGTAGTGTAGCGTTGCAGTTTGATCTCATGATTTGTTATTCCTGAATCCAGCCTGTTCTGGTCGTAGTTTTGAATCCAGCGCATCTTTTAGTCTCTCCAAGATGACGCGGCTCAATGTTTTGCTTGGGGTGGAGCATGATTCCACCCCAGTTCTTGCAAAGACTTAGGTCACTCTTCTTTGGGAGTTTGACAATATAGCCCTTCTTCCAATCTGCAGGTGCCTTTCTTTCCTTCCAAACCTTCTGCAATAGTGGTGTGAGCTTGTCCGCTTTTGTCTCTGCGTCTGTTTTCAGTGCTTCTGACGGAATTTCATCTAGTCCTGCTGCTTTCCCAGCTCTCGGCAACTTTATGGTGTTCAGGACTTCACTTCTTCTTCTGTCAGAGAGCTTGTGTTCACTGGTAATTTCATGGCTGAGCTGCTGGTGGTATTTCTGGAAGAGTTGTAGGTGGTGGTCGATTCATTAGTTTTTTGAAGTGGTCATCCCATTGTTTCGTTTGTTCCTCCTCTTTGGTAACTAGGTTTCCTTCAACATCTCTCATTGGTTTTATCTGAGTTGATCTCTTCCCAGATAGGTAGTAACCTGGTTATTCGAGATAGAGTTGCCAGGTCTCTCCTACCAGCAGCCTGTTCTGCTTCGCCTGCCAGTGTGTCGTAGAAGTATCTTTGTGCGCACTCTTCACTTTGTCCAGTCCAGTGTTTTATAGGTTGTGTTCAGTTCCTCTTTTCATTGTTCATCCTTGCACTGCACTGTTTCATCTTCTGCTTCACCATCCTTCTCTCTCTCCTCTATCAACTTGTATGTGTCCATCAAGATCTATTCCTTGTCTTGTTTTTTCTTCCTTCCTAATACGGTTATGCAGGTTTCTTCCCACGTCTCTTTCAAGGAGTTCCAGTGTTCCTCTATTCAGGTTTCTTCAGGGATGCTGCTTAATGTCTCCAATTTTTCCTGATGACTGACTGATGTGAATATGTCCTTTGTAATTTCGTTCTTCACTTTCTGTTTCGGGTGTTGAACTTGAACTATGGTCTACCACCAGCTTCTTTGAAGGCTTTCAACTTGATTTTGAATGTTACTTGCACAAGATAGTGAGTGGTGTGAACCTGCATTTGTTCTCCCTTCTTCATCTGATCTTGTGCCCAGTAGTCTGTTTCTGCACTTTCTTCACGTTGAAATGGAGTCGATCTGATTTTCATTGTGTCCATCTGGTGAAATCCATGTCGCTCGCTTTGTGAATATTCTTGTGCTTGAACACACTGCCTCCAATTATCAAATCATTAGTTTCGCAGAAGTCTGCAAACAGTTCTTCATTCTCGTTCATTTCACCGAGTGCTTCTCGACCCATGATTGGTTCTCTTTCTTTGTTGTCCACTGCAAGTTCGGCATTCGTCACCCCACCCATTAGAATTTTGGTGTCGCCATCTGGAGTTGGGTCTTGTCTGGTACTGATTGCAGTTGTCTGTTGAATTCCTCCCTCTTCTCTTGATCTGCATTATTTGTAGGCGCGTAGCATTGTGTGGTTGTGACTTTCCTTCCTTTTGAGTTGAACCTTGCTGTCATGATCCTGGAGGAGATTGGTTCCCACTGCATGAGAGACAGTCTTCGATGCCTCTGGGGATACCATGATATCCACTCGGAAACTCAGTGTGCTCGTGATTGTTGTCCGGGTGACAATTTCGGTGCAGATTATTGACTCCTCAGTTGACAGTTTGAAGAGTCCACTTCCATTCCACCTGCTTTCGCAGATTCGCAGACTAACACTTTTATGCCATACCTTCTCATCTCTTCTGCAATCTGGGCAGCCTTGCTGCGTTCAAACATTGTTAGGATATTCCATGTCCCCATACTTACTTTCGCTTTCATCGAGGTAGGCGAAAACATCGGCCAGTTGGCTTCCCGAAGGCTTTCACCAACTGATATCATTTCGCCTCACCGATTCCAACGAGGAGTAAGTTTAATTTTATGTTTTATATTTTCTTTGTGCTTTGAAGTTTCTGTAGAGGTTAGATTGGTTTTACGGGGTAGGGTTTCCTAGCCCTATGCCAAATCTTCCTTCTTTATCTGGGTTTAGGACCGGCTAGTAACTAGTGAACTATTTACCTTGGCGAGGTCCAGTCAGACGATAGAAGCAATAAAATGTCTGTTTCGATATGACTTCAAGTTGAATGTCACACTAGGAAACTTTCTCCGAGATTTTTGGGTGAAAGTTATTACATTAGCTTACAATATGCATTAAGTATGTAGTTGTTTGGGGACAGAGTCGCATTGTTGACTTAACATTGGTTGTATATACTTTATGTAGTGTGTCCCCTGCAACATATTCTCAAATCTATTGCTCCAGAGAAAATATTTATGTGCTGTTTCGGGTAGTATACAAAGTATGAAGTAATATATCATGGTTTTAGTTAGTATCTCTTGACCAGTAGAACGTTTCTTAGATTTAAACGTCGGTTCCCTTTCAGATATTTTAGGATTAGCCTTTAGCGTGTATTTGTAATAGGCATGAACAAAAACTTGAGATACACGTCCTTACATTAGGTGATGAGCCACACCTATTGAGTGTGGGCTAATAATACTAATTGGTTCCAAAGACCTCGTTAGATGGAGTGGAGTGCTAACACATGACCCATTGATTAATGATCATCAGCGACCTAGTGCTATCGACCACACATAATAGATGAATTTGAATTAATCAAACAGTGATTTCTACCTTGTAATTGAGTAAAAATGAAATTGCAGCTTTATTTGCGGACTTGATTAATACTGGTTAGCGAACGTTTTGTTACCTGTGTAAACTGGATGGGAAAATGTATGATTAAAACAGAGTAAACTTTCACTTTTAAGTGGAAAAGTTTTCTGCCATGAACTACAAATATGAACTGTTGTACGATCTATAGGCACTCCATACCTTATGTTTTTTTTCAAAATCTAAAACTGATCTTCAAACATGCTATAAATACAAAGCACTTTTGGATTTTCGAATCCCATGTAACAGTCCTAGTTTTAGAAGTCTTGATTCACTTATAAGCTCCAAATTGTATACTTTGAAAAATAACAGACTTGATAACTAAATGGGAGTTTTATAAAGCATTTCAACATACGACTCTGGTTCCATTTTAAGGAGCTCTCCTCATCAGGCCATTCTGTTATAATCAAATAGTCCATTTCTTTCAGTCCTCGACGTACTTCCACGTGTGAAGTCAAGCAGATAAATGGTTCTCCTCCGAAATTTGAGACAGATTCTTCAAACTTTGGTAAATACTGGTTTTTGAAATCATCTTCATTAGTTACTTTCAACGAGCTCAACTGTAAATATTTCCATGCTATAAAAGTATGAAGATTAGTGCGAGCTGTATACAGTGTTTTCAAGTCAAATGATAAACATTTAATATCATCCACTGTGTGACGAAACTGAAACTTTGCTTTTGAATTGTAGTAAAATTGTTTTGAGTCATTCTGTTACTTTAAGGTTTTATTGTATTTTGTTTCCATAAGAGATAGATGGTGTCTGGATGTGGTGATTCGACTTGCATATCACAGTGACCCAACGAGCTATGCTTGTTGCCACGAGTTCCTACCATACTAGAAAGGTCAGTTGAATAGTAGTAAGATGAAAATTATTTGTCGTTATGGTGTAAATTACTATACTACTATGGGGTTTCAAAGGCGAAGTCATATTGATGGCTAGACGGGGGTGTGACAGAAGTAAGGCGTTTCCCGTGGATGATCAGCAGTACCATGCTGATGATACCTTTTCTTATGGAAAGGAGGTTGATCCCAAGAATAACACTACTCTGTAGTCTTCCGGTGCCAGCAGTATCGACTATTAACTGGAATTCAAACAAACTTAAACCGCGAACCTTCGAGAACGCCTTGTGTGACCGACCTAAAGCAGATGTCCATTGGAGTCTATTGTCACGTACCACTATTACTAACTCTTTTTCAGATACCTCAAGAAGAAACAACTTTTAACATTGTGAGCAGTCGGTAATTGTCAACTGCCTTCACAACGTTTTCAGAACTGAAGTTCGTTTATGCCATTATCAACCTTCGAAATTGTTACCTTCCAATCCTTATTCATGTCTTCCGGTCAGTACCCCTACATCATCTTTAGTTTCTTCCAGTTCTCCATGGAGCAACATCGCTGGTATCCTAGAACTGCGCTCCAATCTACATATTGCTGCCTTCAGTGTCCGCATTCTTCATCAAATCGGTTAACAAGCCTCTCTAGCCAAAACTGGCATCTCAACCCATGGATATTCACTATCCTTGTAACACACTCACAGCATCAAAATGCAGTTAATCACATAATTTCACCCAGCCAACATGATGAATTTGTGGAATTTACCCTTCAAGTTCCAGGAGATTTGATGGCTAGTTGTCGTAGTCTTGTATCCACTTGCTGACCACTGTTCGGACTAAGTGAAAAATGAATTCTACCAAAAACCGTGTAGCCTTCTATTGAAACCCAGATGTTCAGGTATGGTTATCGTAGCAGGTGATTTCGGCATTCTAGTGAGTGGGCTTAAGCAGAAAGGCACTGTCGGAATTCCAACCAAATGAATGAATACTAGTGATCACCTGCTACTCATATGCTCACACAATCATCCACTTCACGTCAGCACAAACTCCAGACATTGTCTGATTTGGTATCTTCCGAACTCAACTCCACAGTGGATACAAGTTGACCATATTGCTATAATTTTCCACTGACGACGGTCTGTGGGCGATCGCTGCTTCTTCTGAAGCACGGGTTTTGACAATGATCACGCATTGTTTTAAGCGACCCTAAAATGGATGAATCAAAACCCTAGCCTAGAAACAGTTTCTAGCCCAGATGGAAAACTGGAATACTAAGGCTAATTTCAATAAGGATGAACTGGCTAGACAGTTATCGAAATCGAAGAACGTCCGTCATCCTGGAGACACATGATGACAGTTGTAGTCTGCTGTAGGAGCAGCATGAAGGAACGTACTTGACCCTGAGAAAAAGGTAAGGAAATGTCGAGAGTTCGTGGGAGTCTCTTGTGAGCTGGTGGATGGACGCGAAGACACTCGTGCAGTCTCAGAGTTCCATGATGAGCGGGAAGAACTCAAGAAGCTCACTCAATGACTTTGGGAGTGGTAGGCAGCGAAGGTTGAGGAGGTAGAAAAGGCAGCCGCCATAGTTATCAGTAGCCAGTTATTTCACCTGATAAGGGGGAGGGGCAAACGGTCATTGGTCGGAGAGGGCATAACGGAGAAGGGTGTGTTTTCAGTTGGTTGGAGGCAATTGGCAGAAAGCCGTAGACCTAAGTTTCGTGATTGTTGGCACTCGTCAGCAAGGCGTGTCTGCAACGTTGACGGAACTGATGTTCCACCTGAGATTCGAACCCGTGTCACCCAGTGTTGTAGTCAGTGACTTTAAAACTGAGCTGTTCGGGCCACGATAGGCTCGATAGGATTCGGTCTACACTCAGAACTAGACAGCATGAAATTGGTTGTTTTCCTATGACCAAACAATAAATGTGACCTAGTCCTACAGGAGGTCAGTCGCGGTCCGAATATCTCAGGAAGCCCTGGCTACCTGCCGATTGCCTCCAACCAACTAACATCTACTAATGTGGACCGCGATGCTGAGCCTCCTATTTTGGTGGTCACATTGCAAATATGATCGATAGGGTTCAGTCTGTACTCAGGACTAGACAACATGAAATTGGTTTCTCTCGCATGACCAAATAGCATAAGGATGTGTTTTGATTTCCTGGCTGAGAAGCTGACCGGAACAATGGGTGGAACGCTGTGACGAACAGTTCAACTGGTCTCCAGCTACTATTCCATTGTCTGCCATCCAGTTGTGATGTGATTGAAACACTGGGATAGGGTCTCATCTCTTGCAGAGGTTGGAAGTGGCGTAACCTGAAATGAGGAAGGAGTAGATAAGCTAGTACGAAAGGTATTTGAGTATGGTGTTTGAGAATTGTTGGGTGGATTAAGTAAAATGTTAGCTTGTATTTGAGGATGAGATGTAATCCTCTCTCGGACTGGTCTCAGTTACCGATTGTCACAGTGTTCAACGAGGATGGGATATCCTCCCGTGATAGTGACAAAGAAATCAGTTTGATGAACACATCTGTGCTACCCAGTTCTTTAATATCTAGATGTTTTAATGAAGCTTAGGAACATAAAACTCGAGTAAAACAGAGAGGTTAGAAATATGTCGTAGGTGTATCGCTGGACGCACTCACTGGCGCGCAGCGAAAGCCGAATCGCGAGGCGCGAATGTTGTATTTGATCCTGTTGCTCGAGATGTCTCACACCATTTTTTGTCACTGTGAGGAGTATCAGGTAATTACTTCTCTCTTTTGAAGACTTTTTGCGTGAACAGGTGTGAGCGTGAGGGCTTATCGTGTGGAGTGGATCGACTAGTGTCCGCCATTTTTGAACTTTCCATTCTTACTGAATCTTATCTTATACGTAGATATATGGGTCTCCCTCCTGTCATCTGACTTTACAGGGATTGCTCTCATATAAGACTTCTGAATAGATCTAGTACAAGCAGATGATATACTTCTTTTAGGTAAATACAGTGACAAGCTTTAGAGTCTACTGGATACCATGAGCGTAAATTTGAGGGTATATGGGATGCGTTCCTCATCTCTCAGATGCAAACTTTTGTTCGAGGACTTATCATTGGTGGCTTGTTTAACAGTGAGGAGTGAAGTGGTTGGTCCAATCCATCTGTCTCAGAGGTTAGATCAGCCGTGGTGGTTTAGTGACCAACGACATTCTTGCATGAGTACAGCGAGGTTGCTTGGCCTTCGCCAACTTATATAATTTATGACGCTTCGGTGATATGCGACTGCTTATTTTGGGTTGAGTGTACTGTGTCGCAGTTCGCTTTGGTTTATTGTGTTTCTGTGGAACATAGGCATTGATGTTATGAAGCTTCAGTCGTTCAGTCATCTTTACTTTCTTAGTACTGGCCGTGTGTTGTAATGTCACTACGCTAGTAATGTAGAAGTCAGTTTTAGAGAGTAGGAAATTTTGGTGTGTGAAGCTGTGAACCTTCATCGACTAAGGTGGCTAGGATATGTGTGTTCATTTCTAGTCGTTATCAGCTTAGTTGCTGAAGTAGGTTTGGACATGAGAATAGGCAAAAGTGGTTGGACTGGAAAGTGACATCGGCTCATGAAGTCTTTTGCTGCAGTCTGTGCTGAGTCAAAATTTGTTGGTGGGGGTCAGTCAGACAACCGCAATCGGTGCTTAGAGACTAGTCGATTTGGCTTAGGATCTATTTCAGTGATGCGGACGAAGCAGATGCTCTCTACACTGTAATCGTTATATCGAATTTCAATATTGTTTTGTCCTTTGTTGTTTTACAACTTTCTGCTGATTTTGATCACTTTCTTCCTCATTGCTCTGTTTTACTTTCAGTGCCTTCAAGTTTGTTATGCTGATGTGACGTGTGGCACCTTGGGTAGTAATGCCAGTTTGTATGTTGATATTGAGTATCTAACTTTATCTTTGTACACCCAACCATTTCATTGGGGTTCTTTTATAATTTAAAATACTCATAGCTGAGTCGGATTTCTGAGATCAAACTAAGTATGGGATTTAACTATGATCCTCTCGCCTTCAACTTCCACATAGGCAGACTCAGACACATATAATCTGGAAAAAATATGAGGAAAGTACTTATTTTCCCCATACTTCCTTAAAAGTCTATGGAATACTCTTGTGATCAATCATTTGGAATGTAATTTAAAACATCACCAAGCTTCCATCTTTACCAGATAAAACTGAACTTTAATCTTCAAGTTGTAATTTAGCCTTAAGTAGAAAAATGATTCAATTTGTAAGGTACACTCACGTTTAATCTCCTTAGATAAAGGGGCAATCCAAATCTCCGCATCATCAAGCCAGTCATGCTGACGAAATACTGGATCACTGTTAAGCCATTTATCTGCTGCTTTAGCTGAGTTAAATTGAAGGATCCCTATGGTTGCATTTCGTTTCCATTCACCAGATAAACATATAACCTAAGTTTAATTTAGGTGCAAAAAAGATATTTAGAATGAAGAAGATCCTAATCTAATAAAGTTGTTGGGCAGCATATTTGCATGACACTTATGTTTGAAACTATAAGAGAATGCATCTTTTGTTGTTGTATTCGCAAATGCAAAGCATTATTTAATGATTTGTTCAGACAGTTCCCAGTAAATAGTCTAATTCTAGGATGTCTCATAACTGACTGATATTAAAGCCTTTGGAAATCAGGGAGGACTAAGACGTGTCTCACAGAATTGGATTGAAAACTTACCACGGTATAATGTGGTTTGTTGTTAGTAGAGAGTATCACCGTAGGAACTAGAACTATGTACATATTAAGTTATCCCCGAAGATACAAGTGAGGCTGGAAAGTATACACTTTGGCTTCTGACTTCAACTCACCTGCCGTACATTGGTTTTCATGATAACTCGAATAGTGCAGGAATCGTAGAACTCAACTGTGATCCAGACAACTTCTTGTTCTGTTCGAATTTAGCTCCAAAGACTCAACGTGTGTCAGGATATAGATGCATAAAAAGTTGATTTACTCATTATTCAACTACTTGTTTTACCAGTCCGATGACAACATACAAAGGTGAAGACCATTTTCTTTAACTGATAGATTTATAAGAGTTGCACCTAGGTCTAAAATTTATAAGGCTTTTCGCAATGTGGTCACGTGTTACATGATAACAAGTAGCTTCAAAACAAACCGAGCAAATGACGCTATTTTGACTTCCAATAAATAGGACTTTATGTTAATTTATCCCCTTTTCAGTTTGCTTACAATTTAACCTGCATCAGTTTTAAGATTCGATTAGTATGTTACTGCTAACTGCATTAACCCAGATGCCCTCGAAAACTTATCGATTAGATGTTGTGCAGACATTTCCAGACGTAGTAAATCATAATATCACTGATTGGTGGTTGTTCAGAACGTTGTTCATGAGGATAGGCTTAAATTCATACTGAGTTTTATTGTTCCTGTGTTATTACATGAGCATCAACTAGCACTCTAAGCGTTTGATAAGATCATTATTAACTACATGATAGCCTACACTATTTTTTTTACTAATTTCAAATTGTATTGAATATCAACAGAAAATATACTGTGGTTTTTTTCAAAGTAAGTGATCGGTAGTTAGTTCGAACTATAGCGTCACTTCATATATTCTCTTCAATAATTCTTTTTTAAAACTATTACACAGTCATAAGTGAGTGGAAACTAGGAAATAGGTATCGCTATGTTCACTTGAAAAGTTAGTTACATATTATTTTGGCTGAAAAATTTCAGATGGCATTTATTTTATATGAATTCATGAATATTTTTCTCTGGCCTATGGTGTTACAAATTTAGATTATAAGGAAATAGGATTCCTGATATCAGATGGGGTACAACAAATGTAAGCTCCAGAAAAACTGTTGTGATTCATAGTTTAAAGACATTAACTTTCGTTTAGTTTCTTGCACAAGAAGTTGTACTCATATAATGGAGCTTTGTTGAGTGATTGTGAAAGCTGTTTTAGTGCCTTAGCTAACAATTAACACTTGTGCATCTCTTTCAAAGAAAACCAACTCTCCTATTAAACATTGAAATTTTGGAAGCAACCTAGATTGACATCTTAACTGCAATAAGTTGTTATGGCTTGTCATTATGTATAACTCAAATCATCAGAAATAAATTAACCTAGACCAGAAAGAATGATATCGGAATAAAAGTGTGATTATATAGGGACAACTATACGGTCATATTCAGATACTAATGAAAGATCGATCACTTTAAAATTGAAGATATTATTGAGCGACTGGGAAATACGAAACTGTTGATAACGGTGTGAATGAAACTCATTTCGAGATGCTGCATGACAGAATGATTTTACCAAATAGTTTCATCAGGAGGTAAAATTAGTACGTCTTATTATTTTTTAACTTCAAAGTTGGAAGTCCGTAAAGAATAATTACGATATTCATAAGTTAACAAGGAATAAGCATGCTTTAAGACGGTATTATTTACTTGGTCACGTTTCAAGCATAAAATTATTGCACACAATCATATCAATGTCCGTTTGGTGTGATTATGAGCAACAATTTATGCTCGAAGCATCATGAAGCAAATAGTGCTATACATCCAATAAGCGTTTAAAACTTTTCTACATGATAAAAACGGGTGCACTTCCATTGGTTTACCAGTTGCTTTTGAAGATTCAGTCATTTATTTCAAGTGCTTACTCTCTGTTTACACTTTCTGGCCCATATTCTATATGTTATCTTTCTATTTTCCACCGTTTTTGCCACTTATACGACAGCTATAAACCTGTAGCGTCACACACTTCTCCAGAATCAATAGCCTAGGGTTCGACGAGATTCAACATTGATGTTGACCTTCGCAGTTTAGCTGGGCTCGCCGTAGCTGAAGGCACCTTGTCAAGCATCCACGCCATTTGGCACGCTGTCGTCTTACGTTGCACTGCTCGTAATCGACCCTCTAGATAGTTAGTTGGAACGCATCAGTATATCGGCCCGACCTAGCAAATATACTATTCCACCCGACTATGCTGTTGTGTTCTTTCTTGATCTCGTATTCGTGGGTATATAACAAATTCGAATAATTTGTGATTGGCCTAGGCCAATGCAGAGCTCTGCATCTGTCAAGTTCTCACAAAAACAATTCCTGAAAACCCACCTAATTGTTACCCTATCTATAAAAAAAACAGCCAAAAATAAAGAAGAGTGGATTTTTAACTGTTAGTGTTGATCTTAAAAGCTAATTGTCTCTTACCTCATCAGCGAACCCAACTGACTGTCCATTACCGTAACTTCTCATAACACTCTTCTGACGGACTATGCCATTATTGAACTTTTTGCATAGTGCCCTATCAAACTGAAAAATAACTATGACCGATGTGGTGTCTGAAATGTGAATTTGAAATATTATTGAGGCTACTTTCTGAGTTATCGACGTTCATCTGGCTCTTGTTGAATTTTCTGACTATGGTTACTATGACGTCATTATCCGGTGGACTGTTCAAACAAGAGCTACACTTCTGTACAATACCCAATATCTTCTCGGGAGCTGATGTGAACCAGTTCGTATTCGCTCCCAGGTTTTTTGGAAGGGTTTCAATGCAGTAGATCTACCAACTCGCTTGCTGTTGGATAGTGAGCTGCCAACATTTATCGCTTCCTGCAGTGGGGATAAATGTAAAAATATATTTTATCTTTTGGTAAGTTCATTGAAGTAGCTGACATTCCTTTCTGAGGTTAGGCGTACTGGACCTAACGTCCTACTCAACATACGTTAGTGACCTTACCTTCGGGCGTTTAGTTGTACGACCCTGACAGGTATCGAAATCTATACATACGTCCAGGGTTCATGGCCGAGTGAAATATATGGTGCTGTGGAAGCAGCAACCTGGACCACAGGATTTGATCGAGGCAGCCAGACCCCCACATAGTCACCTGCTTGTATAGTGATGGTAGCAGTCAAGTGACGATTATCCCTTACTCAGACAATTTTTGGAAAAATTGTTGGTTGAGGTGAAGGCTCCCATCGGGTAGTCGTGAATGAAGTTGTTTCCAAGCAGAATGAAATTGGAACGAACAGATAGGCATTCCAGACATTCGCCTGTAAATAGCCCACGATCTAAGGAATTGGAGCTGCAGAAAGAAAGCTTCGGATCGATGTTGTCTAATGAGTCTCTGCGTTGGTGTATTCCTCTCTTGAATGAGCCTTTAAGAATTAACACGGCTCGAACTTGACAGATGCAGAGGCCAATCACAAATTATTCGAATTTGTTATATACCCACGAATACGAGATCAAGAAAGAACACAACAGCATAGTCGGGTGGAATAGTATATTTGCTAGGTCGGGCCGATATACTGATGCGTTCCAACTAACTATCTAGAGGGTCGATTACGAGCAGTGCAACGTAAGACGACAGCGTGCCAAATGGCGTGGATGCTTGACAAGGTGCCTTCAGCTACGGCGAGCCCAGCTAAACTGCGAAGGTCAACATCAATGTTGAATCTCGTCGAACCCTAGGCTATTGATTCTGGAGAAGTGTGTGACGCTACAAGTCATTTGCTGAGTAGGATGTCAATCCCTCCGCAGAGTATCCGCCTGGGAAGCAAGCACTTCACAGTGGCGACTGCTATCTATTGCCTTTGTATCCCCCTGTTATTTCCTGTGAAGCATGGCAATCTGATAATGATAGCAATATTTCTCGAGTAACGAATTATACGAACTCATGTCATTTTAACTGGCAGCATCCGAAACTTATCCTTCTCAGCTAGGCTGAGAAAGTTCAAAAAGAGTAGATAAGCGCGATATATATAGTCCTCCAGCGTATGCAATTGCTTGGACGTTGCTCATCACAATTACTGGGTAGAAGGCATTTCGTTACGCAAAAGTGGTGAAAAGTAATCCGGATAAAATCACTCAATACGGGCTTTTTTCTGGCGATGTCAAATCACATAACCAGTAACAGCATAGTACATATCGAATATTGAATATAAATGAGTATTGTTACGTCAAATCCACTGAGTAGCAGGTAACGAAGATACGAATTTTTGGAGTTCCCAAAACCTGAAGCGAGAACCGACCAGACCCAAAACAATCGGCTGCCGAAAGCGAATGTATATCCGAACAGTAAGTGAACCCTGCGAAAATTGCTCTTTACACAAAAATTAATTACAAACCTTCAGTTTTAACGGCTACTGCAGTTTCTATCCAAAAACGAAATACAAGACTGCGGGTATCCTACAGGCGAAATTGAATAGGCGCCTTACAACTTGGAAACCAATTAGAATGCCTTCCTATGACCATTGTAAGGTCACTCTGGCCATCTTAGTAGGCCATGTTGGACGATTGGCTTCGTGATAACGAGTTTGTCATTGATTTATTAAAGTTGCAGACGTTGTTGCCGTTCCTATGTTATGAGTTTTTACCCAATTATACCCCGTCTGTGATACAGCCTTCGTTGGTTGCCTGTTTCGTTAACTGTTTTTATTGTTTGCAATGTCTGAGGACGCAGGTCAGCTATAAAAAGAGTGTTTTTTGCATATTTGTTCGTTGAATTCCATTTCTTCATGTTATGTTAATGGGTTAATGTAAATTTATCCGCGTTATGTTTTTCTTGTTGTGTTAGAAGTTGGCTAACCGTTAAAAAGCCGTGATGCTGCCTGTGGTGCCCCTGATCCCCGAATTACTTCAACGTTTACAGCCTTTATCTGGTTGTTTAAGAAGTTTGTGCAAATGTTAACATGTTCCGTTGCTGTTTATTAACACTTCAGCTGAAAGTCCTCTAAGAAGAATGCTTTACTTATTCGTTTTCATAGCTTCATGGATTCTCATCAAGCTTCTACGAGCAGTGCTTGCTTGGCTAGCGCAACGTTTGTTGATGTTTCTGGGGTGTTTGAACAGATTATACGACCTAGACATTTTACTGTCTGGAGTCAAGTCGATGAAGCGATAAATACATTTCAGGGAATATGCTAAAAAGTCACTTAGCTCTATGTTTAGATGACGAATGCTCACTCCATTGTGATGGAATGCAACCGGTATAGAGGAGGTGCTGAAGTGAAGTACCAGCATGTTGTGTAGGTGTGTACTTTTGGTAACCGGAAAATGTCGGAGGGCACCAAACAGCGAGTCAGGGGGTAGTATAAGAATTTGTTAAGAGTAGCGTTTTAGATCGAAATCTGTAATTAGAATACGTTACGATTTGAATCACTTTATTTTTCCAAGTTTCAAGATGGTGCACAACCATCCATGTGATGTTACTTATCTTGCGAAAGACCCTTGGTCCAGACGATTATCCGAGGAGGAAATGAAGGTTGTTCGACCCATGCTGACAGTTCGGTCTGAACCGGATCGTGTTGTTAAGTGTGTAAAAGACGTTGTATTAAAGGACATAACTTATGACCATGTGAAGAGTATCTGGAGGAGAATAAAACCAAGCAACATGCTTCCTTAATAATTTTTATTCGGCAGGCTATGAAACTCAAGCAGTAGTATTCGCTAAATTAAGAAGTAATGGTCGGATGACAACCTGGAGTGATGGTGGGCATCACCAGGTTGACCCAGTCTGCTTCAGCAGTAATGGTCAAATAGCCACCTACCCCAATTTCCTGAGGTTATATGCTTCGATTCAACCTATAATACGAACAACGGCAAGTAAGTCTATCATGATAGCGTTAACATGAAGTACAGCTATAAATTGCTTCAATTTGTTGTCACTGACAACTATGGTAACAGTCGCCCAATTATGTTTGCGTGGACTAAACGAGAACAAAGGACAGATGTAACATGGCTGTTGGATGCCTTTAGGCGTTTAATGGGGGAAACTTCGTCCACAAGAACATTTGTTACTGATTGCGCTAGGGCATTGAAGGCAGCTGTCAAGGCTGTCTTCCCCAACGTTGATCTTGTCCCTTGTGCATTCCACGTTTGCAGAGCGATGTGCGAAAGCGTAAGCATTTCATATAAGTGTTTGTATGCACCTAACTTAAAGAGAAGAAATCCAATACTCAAACAATATCTGTGCAGATTAGTTCGAGAGGAATCAACCAGCAGGTAAGATACAAACAGTACACTGACGTCCAGTGCAGGTTTTATGCACACAACGGCATCATCAACTCTGTCAGTCTGGATATGGGGAGGTATTTAAGTCGCATGTGGATGAATTGTAAACGACTTTGGTTCCCAGCATCCTACAATGATGTCCTGATATTGGATAATAATACTAATAATCGAGTTGAAAGCCTTCATAAGCAGATAAAAAGGAGGCTAATAAAATATGACAAGCTGCATATAGCGATGTGGAAGGCGTATAAGTGGGATACCAGAGGAAGCGAAAGGAAGAAATTGGAAATGAAACTGCTGGATTCTGGAAACCAGGGGTCTGCTGGACCTAAAGGACTCCAACCGATCCTTGACAAACTGAGTCCATACGCAGCAAGAAACGTTGTGAAGGACTCTAAACTACCGGCAGCAGTTTACACTGAAAACAAGTTATCCAACTGGGTTTTCTTTGTGGACGGCTACAGGAATCTGGAAGTTGATGTACATCAGGGAATGTGCTCCTGTAACTTTTATAAGGTCTGCCTGCTCCATTGTCGGCACATGCTGATAGCTCACTTACGTTTCCGAGAATTTACTGGTAAGTTGACGTATAGTGCTTTACTGAATGTAGTTGCTCGCATGTTGCAAAATTGTCAACGATGGATTCGAGGTGAGCCACGAACTACCATTCCAGACGGAGAAATCGGAAGCGTTTCATCAGAGGTTGCTGACTATCGCCTAATGAAGCGCAGACTTAACAGGCGAATATCTCAGTGGAGGAGTGAATATGGTTACATACAGGCTACAAACCTAATGAAGCGCTGCATCAGTCTAGCAGATGAAGGCGTGAACGCAGCCGACGGACAACAGCCCAACGATGAACCGTAGGCTATTTGCCTATTCCAATCCTCAAAACCTGCCTACTTTTTGATCGCGACGTTCACACCATCCGCCGTTATAGGTGTGGACGAGAGCCCTTACAGACAGGTAATTCCAATTCACTTCCACCTTACGCTTAGATGGAAAACTCAATTGTACACGTAAACTTCACCGTACAAACACTGAATGATAAAAAGGAAAGTGATGTAAGTCTGCTTTCATTTTTGAAATTGGATTTCATGAGTACTCTTTATGTCCCATCCAACATGTTCACCTACTGTCTTCTCCTACAGGCAAACGACGTTGAACCTGCCTACTGGATTGCCGTTTATGTGTCTGTTAGCACGGAAATTTTTTATCATGTTAATTAGCACACTCTTTTACCTCACAATACAAGCTGCATTCCTTAATAGTTGCTTTTGGAGTAGACTCGGGTTACTACGGGCACATTTACATTGTTTCCGAAAACCATGGTATTGGTGCTTAGGCAAGTCGACATCCATGCGTGAAAAATTGGAAAACTTCCAATCACTCCATAGCTTCAGATTGTTGAGTTATTGTCGGTAATCCCGGAATCCGTAGGGGGGAAGTCTACGAGCTCACGCGTTTCAAACGTTTTCGGTTACATCCAGGCTATCGCAACAAGTATTTCGTTCACACTC